GTGCCCTCGCAGCAGAAAGGAATATTAATCAAACAACGGTCACAGCCCTTCATGGTATCCATAGTGGATTCCATTCTATATTTAGCCATCATTACATCAATCTTGCATTCTTCTCCAAAGCCAGTTCCATTGAGATATAACGCAGATTCTGTATCTTCCACATCAATGAAATCATACCCAACGGTAACACCGGTTAGACACTCAAAGGGAACAAAAACCCTCTTGATCTCTCCACACCTACGGAAACGTGTACGCAATAGGTTCTTGATTTCATCCCTAGAAAGAGAAGTATCGGTAGATGTGGAGCATCTCTTCAAACTCATGTCGCCCTTGCCCATGGAAGGTTTTGATCGAAAGTGTTAGAGCATCTGCTTATTTATAATTTTTATATATTCTGGGTCAAGCTTTGCTTGTTGTTGCATGGGCCATTTTGGGCTGAATTATCCATGACTTTCGTATTGTTTAAAAAAATTAATTTATTTTGATGGCTGATTAGAGCAAACGTGTTGCATGTGTTTTAAAAGTTGAATTGCTAATTACAGTTCGTCGTATACAAATTTTCTAAATTGATCGAGATTTGTATTATTTCTTCTGAAATGACAACAAAATTGTAATGTGGAGGTAGAACTAGATAATCATAGCATTATTCGGAAAATCGAGTCAACGTTTGCAACCGTTGTGCTTAATATGAGTACATAGCAAAAATGAAAATAGTGTAACCTAGGACTCAGATAATGGCCTTTTAAATTCTTATATATGCATGGTCTCTTGCAATGTTAAATCGGTTCTAATACATGTCTACACTTTTATTGGCAATTTTCGTTTGAAGTAGAAAAAGAAAACTACAAACTGATTTCCACAAGACAACTTGGTTTTGACATTTGAACTTTTGAGACAACCAAAACTCAATTTTCTTTTCTCATGTAAAACTATACATTTCACATGGCGTATTTTTCTATAACTAACAATCATATATATGGTAGATTTTTCTTTTCAACAAAAAAAAATAAACATCTAATTTTTTTAACTCGTGTTAATATTTATGATTTCTTGAAAAACTCGAGACGAGGGACATCTAAACGTAGCGAGTATGTAGCTTTTTTGTAGTCACCCCATGTGAACGAATTATACCGCCGTGGATTTTCCGGCGATACCATCTCCGGCAACGGTGATATTTTTGCTTCCAAAGGCGGCGCCGCAAAATACATCGCCGACATGCGTGGCTTCCCCGCCGTGTTCGCCAGTACCCTGTGCCTCACGCTAGTGAATTTCCCATTCGTCAATGCCTATTTTCAAATATTAATTCACAATAATTAGTGGAATTTAATTTGAGGTTCTAATTCACTAAACAGATTGCAGACGAAAGAAGAAAAAAATGAGTTTCTTTTTATAAGAAAGATTAGCCGATTTAAATTTGTTATTTGGAACTTTTAGGTTTGATACTTTTACGAATAGAATTATACGAAATGAATTTAAAAGACCGAAATATAAATTTCTTATATTTAAGGAATAATTCTTCGAGCATTAATTGTGATTTCAAGAAAAAAATTGCAGGAAAGAAAAGCTAACTCGAAAAAAAAAACAAAATTTCTTTAAATTGAAAATCGGTTACC